AGTTCAATGAACAATTTAGAGAGAATCTTTGATGAGAAATCATATAAGGCCAAAAAATTGTCTTGATCCTTTGAGAGTTCCAAAAGTGTCTCTTCATTGAATTTCAGTAATTTCAAATTGTTCTTAAGCTGATTTCTATCTCTTTGAAATGCTGGACATGAGAATCTTTCCCTAGGATATAAATGTATTATTATTATTAAGGATTTACATATTGTAAACTCATATTTGTTTAATCCTTGTTTTTGTTTTCAGGAATAGCTTATCTATGGCCATTTCATATCCCTCACCCAATTCCAGTCATCAGCTGGGAAACATACAAGGACCTTGTGTGCTGTGCTTATGTGAGTCACAAAAATGTCTGCAGGAAGAATGTATGATGCATATTTTTCTTGTAGTCCATGTCCCTGAAAAAGCCATTGGTTATGTTGTTTGCAAGACGGATCAACAGGAATGCTATTTGCTTTTCAAATTTGGATTCAGAGGCACTAACTGGATTTTCTCCAGGTCAAATTCAAACTGTCCATGCTGTAAAGGGACTGATTCTTCTTATGCCTTTCTTTACAATGGCATCCATCATGTCTTCCTCTGTGAGCTGGATTCATTTCTTCTACTTCAATGATCAAAGTCATAGGGTAATTAAATGACTAGTAAGGCAAAGGAATCTCAACCTAATTAAGGAAAACAAAAAGAATCTAAATACCTGGAATTTAGAACCCAGTTTTGGCAGAGAATTTCTCTTTTTGGTTCCAGCAAATTAGTCTAAGTGAAAAAGAAATCCTAAAATATCTAGAATTTTTCTATACTACCAAGTAAACTTCTTCAATTATTGAAGTCTCTGGAGCAAAATTTCATAAATACATAATCCAGGCTTCACTGCATAGTTAAGCTGTATGTTTTCTTCATTTTTCATCCAAGCATCATTACCTGCTGACTGTTTGTTGAATTGTTAACCTTCCTTCTTGATTGTTGAGGAACCAGAACTTGGGCCCAGGGACATCAGGTCCAGGGACCTGAATTCCGGTCCCATTTTCCTTTGTGCATCCATTCCCTTGATGCCCACCATCTGTGATGCACATTTCACAGGCAGAGGAAAAAGCCCAGTGCTTCAGTCAAGGATTGAGCTAAATTGTGCAAAAACCCATTATTTTTTGTTCCCAATAATCAGTCCTTCCATTTAGCTCTTACAGTAAACTTCCCTCAAACAATTCAACCCCAACTCTTTTAGTTGAATTATTGCACCCTAAATTTGTGCGCACAAATTTATTGTATTCACTGAATGTGTGTTGCATTATTGTATTTATTATGATGCATTATTTTTGTACTGCCTTTCATTGTGATTTTTTGTGGGCTGTGATTAAGGTACGCCCTTATTTACATATTCTTGGCCACAAACAGGCTGATTGCACTGCTTTATTATTTCTTACCATTTCTTCCACTGTGCTATGGTTCAATGCTTGATGATTGGTTGATTAATTCCTCAACACTGATGTTCTTGCAATGTTCCTAATTTTTTACTGTCATAATTTGGGATTATTCCAAGGGAAATTGAATTTTAGTATGTGATTATACTTTTCCAGAGTGACTTGCTGCACTACAACCTTCAGTTGATGAACACCACCGTGAATGCCTCTTTTTGTATCGATATGAGAAATCCGCCGGTACTTCTACTGAAAAACCTGCTGTGCCCGATTGTGGTTTCATTTTGGATGATCCCGTCCATCAGGGCCATGAAACTCCGAGAGCCCCTTTCTGAATTTCAGCTTGCTTTTTTCGTCGGTGTGATGTACTCTGTAATTCTCAGTTGGTCAACGCTGCTCATAACGGTAAATAAATCAGTGAATAAATTATTTTTGTTCGTTTAAAAATGCAGTTGACAATATGATGGAAATGAAAAAAGTCTTGGTAAATTTTCACCATCAGTTTGTTCATGGCGATGGGCTGTCATTTCCTGAAGGCAGGGATGGGCAAGTGATTGCCTTGAATGCCATGGATTGCCACGTTTCTTTGCTGATCAGGAACCTGTCGGAACCCGGGTTCGAGAAACAAATCCGGGTGCAACCCGATTCCATTTTCGGAGTGGATGTTACAGAGGGGAACATGTATGAGTTCCAAGGATTTGCTTCCAGTTGTCCTGAGTTTAAACGGCTGGGAAATCGTGTTCATGGTTGGAGCAACATTTTACAAGAGCAAATTGATCAGCATCAGGTTCCTTCCCTTGTTGACTGCGGATTTTTCAATCCCTTGTATCAGTGCTGAGTATTCTCATCTACAGTGTATTCTTGCTAATTAAACTAGCTGGCTTGAAAGAAAATTCAGAAAGGTAACCATAATTCAGTGAGGTAAAAGGTAAGCTTTCAGTGACTGCTTCCAAATATGAATTCATTTCTCATTCTTGAGAAATTTGGAATAATTCTTAAAGAAATCTCAACAGCATTTGAAATGATTTTATTCATTCATCAGGCTTTTTACTGTCAATATTCCAAACTCCTGGTTGGATCGCAGAAAATAATTCTCAGTATTACAGTCAAACCTCTCTAAGTCAAATCTCAAGGGACCTGCAAAAAATTCAACTTGAAAGGTTTTGACTTATTAGGGAGGCTTTGACTTTTATATGTTGGAACTACAATACAAAGCCCTGTTTTCTGGAAAACTTGAAAAAATGTAAATGGTAATATTCTTGTCACAAAATTTATGAGAAGCGGAGGATGAGTTTGGCTGGTGCCAAACTCATCCTCCTGCTAATCTTGTAGGAACCGGAGGCCACCAAAACTCACACAGCCTTCTCCTCAAGGAGACATTCCTCCCTGACCTCCAAGGTCAATTCATTTCTGCATTTCCTCTTTTATCTATGAAAGGTCATCTTTAACTGACCTTCCATGAATTTTTCCTGGTCACCAAAATTATTCCAAAATTCATTCCAACAGTGTGATTTGTACAAGCAACATTGGGTGTTGTGATTTTGAGCAATATTGTGGAGATTTTGGACTTGTGTTTTCAATTCAAAGAAATATAACAACATTAAACTAGGGTGTTATTCACCCCGGCCACAGCTCGGCTGATTGTTGTGTTTCATTTTGGCAAATAATATTTAATCAGATTTATTTCTCACAATTCTGCGGCTTAAATGGCCTCTGAAATAAGTTAAAAGGCTGCTGAACTTGAAGGCAGGGGTTCATTTGCCCTATTAAGTCTTTCACTTCCTTCAAAACACATATATTTTTGGGTTTTTTGGTTTTTTCATTTTTTTTCAAGCAAATACTGATCAACAGGCCGCAGAAAATTTGACTTTTGGAGGTTTGAGGGGAAAAGCTCTTGACTTAAAGAGGTTTTCACTCTTTTGGTTCTAAGGGGATTCAAATGAGACCTTAAAAAAATTGACTTACAGGGGTATTTGACTTGGGGAGGTTCAAGTTATGGATGTTCAACTGGTTTTTTTATTTTTAGAAAAAGTTGAAAATTTTTACTTCCCTGTACCTGGGCTGGAATAATTGTAAATTGAATTGCAAGAAAACTTCACATTTCATCTGGTGATCGTCTGAATAGGAAAATTATCTCCACCGTCCAAGGGTGAATCCATTCCTGATGCAATATTGTTCAGATTCAAAGTTAATGTTTTTATTTTCCAGATTTCAAGTGTTTTGATGGTATCCACAGTTGACCATACTCCAGAAATGTTTTTACTGCCTCAATATTCATTCGAACATTTGCCAATTGGAATAGCCTTGATGTGAGTTTGGTTGAGTGTCCTTCTTGTTGAGCTCTTTGACATATGCCCTTGATGATTTTAACTAAGTAATAACTTTGGTATTGTGCATGTGAGTGAATGTTGCATACTTGATCAATATGACTGAACCAAACCTTGGCATGTGCCTGATTTCTCTGTTCACATATCTTTCAGAATGATTGTCATAGTGCCCCCTGGAAACTCAATTCCCACCGGAATTGTAAAACATGTCTGGAACGAAGTTGTTGTTGCTAATTTTTCAGAAGACCTTGAACTAGAAGAAAAAATATTTCTTGGAGAAACATACATCGATGGATACTCGGGAAGGTAATTTTCCAATTCTTCGTTTCATTGAAAATGCAAAAATTGTGTATATGCACGTTTCTTTAAGGTTTGACATTTTTGTTGATGGCATTCGTTTGAAAACATCTGCGTTTTATGCTGGAGGGTCTTACCTCCTGCTGGTGCGGTATGTGGGTGATGCAGGTTCTCAGGTGAAGTTCAGTTTTATTCTTCATGTGTATTCTTTTGCAAAAATATAAAATTGCAATGTACCCTTCTTCTCAGAAATGTATGCTCTCAATATTATGCGCCTATAATGAGAGTATGTGAGTTGAATGAGAAGTCTTTTTGATCAAAATGCTTTAAATTATAACAAACACTTCACGCTCACAAATGAAAACTGTACAGTACTGTATGTATTCAATTTAGCAATTGAAAGCCCTTATAGACTTTGCAAAATTGTTTTTAAAAAATTGAATCTTTTTATGCTACATTTTCATTCTTGTGGATGTATTTAATTGCACAAATACTTTGAAAAAGGTATCCAGGGAAATGTACACTTCAATTGCTCCTCAGAGTAATCAAAACTTGTTTATGAATATGAAGGATTTGTCATGGGTACATTGGATCCCATAGACAAAGGAATTGAATTAACACCCATCAGAATGCAAGTTTTGAATAAGAACTCATTCCTCTTTGAGAGGAGAAGTCAGAACCTAGTGTTAAAGTGTTCTGTTCATTCATTCAAAAACATATAAATATCTGGCAAAAATAAATTTATCTAGTTCAGGAAGAATGATCAAATTGCAATAAATTACAAATAAAATCATCAATGAGATCCCTGATTTTTATATTCTAAAAATTTCTCAATATACTTAAGCAGCCTGAAATCACAGTAGGGAACAGATGCTTTTTGACAAAAATTAGATACAGAATATTTCAAATATTTTGTAAATTTTTTTATACCTTTGAGCTTTCATCAGTGTACTACCGAAGATTCCTGCGACGATGCGTCCAATAATTGCCGCTGAACCAGAAACGAATTCGATTTGTTTGGACCCAAAATAAAAATTTCTTGTAAGGTACTCTTTGGCTTCACCTGCAACAAAAAGCATAGGAATTTTGAAAACTACTTGCTTATTTTTTTTTGCGTCGGAAAGAAATCCAAGGTTTGCTGATCAATTTCAAATCTTTTTGTAAATGTCCAGGATTGTCTTTCAGGTTTCAGCTCACAAGAATATCCCAATCATAATTATTGTTATACTTCGTAGTTTGCAGTTTGGATGATGAATGACTTGAAACCTCTAAAATCTAAACACATCTGTATAAACCGTCGCTGAACTTGAAGTGTACCTTCTAGAATTTATTTAGCAGTATATGAAATGATTACAGTGAGACCCCCAGATGTGGACATAATTGGTGCATTGAGTGTCCCTATGTTGGATTGTCCCCAAGTCAAATCTTGTTTTCCCATAGACTTACATTGTATAATTTTTAATTGGTGATTTATGGAAGAAACATTTTTCAGAATTTCATGAAAGAAAATGTTTGCCACTTGAATTTGATTCAATGAATATCTTTTCAAAGCAATAAGAACATTTGGAACATTGAATAGTGTACCTCTGTACTGTAAATTGAAAAGATGGCATCTGGAAAAATAACATCCATGTCACAAAGAAGGAAGCCCGCCCTCTCTGCTATAGGGCATTTATTAAATTAGCTGAATGGATGGGAAAATTATGGGAAAAGCACCAAAGAATTTTTCTTGCATAGATCTTAGGTTGGAAACATCTGTTTCTTGCAATTAAGCCTTATAAAAATTGATTTTCCTAAAATTTATTTTGGAATTTTATCCTGCAATGTCCCCAGGTTGAGTCAGTGTCCTCATGTTGAGTCTTTTTTATGATTTTTTGTTTAAAAAAATTTCCCCATTTTGAATTGTCCCCATGTCAAGGCGTCCACATGTGGGGGTCTCACTGCACATACTATTAAATAATAAATCAGCTGAACATTAGTAATGCATGCAAGTAGATCTGAAAATTATGCCTTAATTGAAGAGAAAAAATTGTGATATTCATTCAAATTAATTGAAATTCTCAGTCAAAAAGCTGAATTTTGGAAATAATCTTCAACAAGACTAAAGTATTTCCCGAACAGTGTGAAATCTTAAAATTGGCGGAAGAATGTCATCTATACTTATTTTCCTTTCCGTAATTAAAATAGTGTGATTCAAGAAACCTTCTGACTGTTCAACGAAGAACATTCGGGAATTTAATATATTAGGCTCTTTAAAAAATTTTCTCTTCAATCCTTAATTTTGATATCAGTTCTCTCATATTTTTTAAAATGCGAGAGTTCTATACAAAGTAAAAAAGGCTCACCTTATACGTTAAACTTCGTTTCTTTTTTACTATGATTTAATGTTTTTCGAAAAGAAAATCTCAAAAAGGGAAAAAATTACGTTACTACAATTTCAGAAAATTTTATGTATGGAAAATTTGTCTCATAAATTAGAAATGCGCTTCTATATTATAGACAAAGATAAACCGTAAATAATAATAAGGTAAGACATCAGTAAATGGATTCCAGCTAAGCTTTTTATTTGAAATTCAGAACATGTACGAGAAATTTGTGAACTCATCAAGTGATAATATTTTTCTGAAAAAAAAAATCAATACATTTTTCTATATTGCGCATTATTTGAATTGCATTTTCAGCTAGCCTCTTCAAGCAAACGAAAATTAGAATTTTACTTTGGTATACAGTATATACTCAGTAAAACTATTCTGGATTTTTCATGTCAAGCGATGCACAGTATCAGATTTATTTCAGCATAAAATAGTACAACAGAAAATTTTCAAACATGTTTATACCTTGAAGTGAATATAAACTCAGGTGAATGAACAGCAGTGCATTCACCATCGGAAGCAGCAATGATTTCTTCGGGAACCGGAAGTTGAGGTCCATCATTTGTCAAAATCATGTTTAAAAAAAAAAAAACAACCTACCAGTAAATGAACCCTTCCTTCAAAAGTGGAACCATTTTCTCCCTGGCAGTCTGAGTCATGTTCGTTATTCTTCATCCTTCAGCGACCTAAAATACTTTTTGCAATGATTATATGAATAAAATTCTTCAACGCCAGTTCGTATGGGAATAATGCGATATGTGACGAAAAAGGTTTCCAAGTCGACACACACAAAAAAAATAAACCAAGGCAAAGTGATGATCGGAATTGGACAATTTGAGATATTTGGAATAGAATTATGCTTTAGACATAATTCGAAGTATGGGTAAATGACTTGAAGCCTGTGTTTCTCTTATGTGGTACGGATGTGGGTAAAGAAACGACATCTAGTTCACTAGGGAACTCTTTCCCAGAATTTCTACCTGGAAGAGCTTTGTATGGCATTTACAGTCCGTTCCAGATTTCGGGGAACTGAATTCTCTGGAAAAATTCAATGAAAAAAATATTATTTCTAAAGTTTTTCATAGCAAAATCATTACTTAAGGCCAATTAATTTACTCAGTCACAACGAAATCGCTTTCCCTAATATATCAGAATATCGTTATTGCAACAAAGAGTTTGGGACCTTTAAAAAAGCGCAGTTGCAAACAAAATTCGTTAAAACCGACTTAAAATGACATTGTGGCTTTCGGAAGGGGACAGGGGCCAACAGAACAAATTCGTTGTAAGCATCAATTCGTTATGAAGAGATTCTAGTGTAGTAAAACGAGTATTTTTTGAAAGGGCGATCCTGTGATGACCTGATGAAATACTGAACTCAATTTTTAAAATTTTGAGATGTTCAGTAGCTTTTCAAAATTCCTTTGATGGTTTTCTTGAGGAAAGATAATTTCAATATAGTTTTAATTATTGCTCTTCAACCTCTGTCCTGTTATGGAATTGTTGGTGTTTGCCATAAGAAAAAGATTTTTTTCGATATAACATAGAACTTATTCCTGTCTTGGAATTGTGACACATTTTAAAACTCCTGCTTCAGAAGAAATATTCCAATTATCATCTGGATTCTTTTGACAATGGCTTATTTATCTTTCTTCAGCCAGCACATTCTTGAAAGATAAAAATATCTGGGCGAGAAAGAAAATTTCTTCAAGTCTGAAATTCACAATATTGAAAAGTTTTGGAGTAATCCAAGACCGTTTAAATAAAAAATGTTCAATAATATCACCACAGAAATTATTTCACAAGCTTGTATATATGCAAAATATATGAGAAGAGATTAAAAAAAAGAATTTCACATCATTCAGCAGCCATCAATATTTTTTATACTATTTAGACCAATATTAATTTGATTAAAAATAAATTCCTCAGGACATTAAAAGTATCAAAATAATGAGGAAACTGGCATATTTAAAAAAAAGGATGCCAATTGAAATAAAATATGTCTGGCTCCTATATAAGGACCATATCAAGATTTGTGTGTGTTCCTTTTGTCTCATAGAAATCAAGACAATTTTCTGCTGAAGCTCAAGTTAATTTATGAAAATCAAAGCAGTGATTCAAAAACAGAAACACCTTTTTCATTCTCTCCTCAAATTTCCATACGACGTCCACCCTCAGCACGTAACTGATGAATTAAATAAAACCATCAGAAGAAAAATACAGTAGAGCAAAACATAACGCGGGGAAAAACACAACAACAACAACAACAACAACAAAATGGGGAAAAAATCCCTGATTTTTTTCCTCCCTTGGGAAATTTGCAATTAAATCAATCAATCAATCAACGTTTGTGGGAGAAAAAACTTCGGGCGACGGATCGGAAGTTGAAAGCACAAGCCTTGTATTCGCCGGAACAGTCGCGGGGTCGGAAAATGCCGCCACCGGCGCCTCCGCCGCCACCAATGGCGTCTGCGTCGTCACGCGAGGCAGCAAAATGCGGACTTGACGTGTCGATGACGTTGGAGGCGTCCGTGTATCTTCGGCTAGCGTTTTCCACTTCACATGCGATTTCCCCTAGACAGCTTTTCCAGTCAGATGTCAGAAGAGCCTGAAAAGAGAAAAAGAAAGAAAATGAAATGGTTGGAACTTTTGGAAGGCTTTCCTTCCATCATCACCCGCCGAGTGATGATCTCACTCTACTTCAACACCCCAGAGCCTCTTACAGGAGGATTATGTTTAGCTACGTGTAGATGTCGCCTGAATCTGGTCTGCACAGAGAAAATTAACCCAGTGAAGGTTTTACCCCTCCTCTGGATTTGAATTTCAATTGAAACGCATTCAATTCAACAAACTTCATTGTGAAGAATCACTGCTCTTCTGTTATTCCTTTTATATCTTCACAGTATTTATTTATTGTATCTGAGTTTGTACAGTATTTGAAATGGCGCTAAAATTCCTTTTATATTCCCTTCAAAAGCTTATTAAATGTTGCAATTTCTTTGCCATCAAAGTGCACAATGGATTCTTATGAAAAACTGTGAACATACATTTAAGGTATCCACTTCAATATACAGTTTTTGGTGAAAACCAAAGTTTTCTGCTGTTTTATTTGATCCACTGCATCTTCATGATGTTTTCTTTTGATGTGTATTGTGAAAAATAATGCACCACATACAAGTAGTTGATTCTAATTTAATTACATTTGAACGTCATCTGAGCTCATCAATAATATCCTTGTGAATTTTACACTACTGTATCAAGGTACAGTGAGACCCCCACTTGCAGATGCCTCAATATGCAGACAATTTGACATAGGGACATCTATTTTCCAATAAAAAAGGCCCAATGTTTGGACACAGACTTTCCATGTGGATGTTGCAGTATAAAAAGTTTCAGGACAGGTGACTTTTTACCAGACTGAATTGAAAGAAAAGGATATTTCCAGCCCCTAAAATCTATGCACAAAAAATTCTTTGGCATTTCTCCCATCATTTTCCCATCCATTCAGCTAATTAAAAAAAATATTTACCTTCAGCATAGAGGGACACCTTTCTCTCTTTGTGACTTGAATGATATTTTTACAGATGCCAACATTTCAATGAACTGTACAAATGTACAGTATTCAATGCTCCAAATGTTCTTATTGAGTTGAAAAATATGGACTGAATCAATTTCAATTGGCTGACAATTTTTTTTTCATGGAATTATGATGAACATTTCTTCCATGAAACACCAATTAAAAAGTACATAATATAAGTCTATGGAAAAATGAGACTTGACTTGGGGACATCCTTACTAAGTTACGCTCCTGATGTGCCAATTATGTCCACATCTTGAGGCCACACTTTCCAGGATGCTTTGTCACCTCTTGAAGGACCTTTCAGGAAAAGCACCTCCTAGGAAAATACTTTTTGGTTCCAAGACCTGGACTTTGCAGATCAACCTGATTGATTTGAGACAATGAGGTGATGGTGATGGTCAAAATTCTGTCCACAGTTTGCAGAAAATGCTGTCTATACGCCCAGACAAAAACTACATTTTGTCTTATTTGGAAAGTTAAAAAGTTATGCATTTTTCCGGCGCAAATGGCCATCATCAATAAAAATTCCGAAAAAAAAATCCGAAAGAATCATTTCGAGGGAAACCTCGCGATAAATTTCGATTCAGTCAATGTTTTCGAAAAAAAACTCAGAACTTTGTTTGTTTGCCTCGGCGCAATTTTTTTCAAATTTTCTGTTCTTCCGTTTTCCATCCAAACTCATTGAATCAGAAGAACATATTCAACAGTCCCATTGATATAATACAAGATCTGCAAGGTAATGAAATATATCTGCAAATTTCTTTGCTGTTTCAAAATTTGCAAAAAATATAAATTAGATAATTATTGCGTAACTTTGATCAAGGCATATCAGTGATACCACAAATTTAATTTGTAGAACAATACATGCTCATAGACATGCATATGTTTTTTTCCTCACAAAATGTCAATGACTGGAATTCTTGGTATTCTTTAACTTTTTGTAATGGCTGATGTGGGTGGTCCTTAGACCACACCAAAAGGATTTGGTTTATAGTGAAATAAACTGTAAGAGCACAATTGGCCATTTGAGGCCTGAGGGTTTTAAACTCCTCAATTTCTGTTCATAGATCAAAGTCCAAGTCCACAAATATTTCCAATCAAATAAGTCACACACAAAATAAGCAGGTCTGTTCTCTCCAAAGTCCAGAGTAGGATTGATTGATTCTTTTGATGGTTTCTCACAGGTCCAGGTCCTCCCCATTAGTGGAAAGCTTCTCCAACATTTTCACTGGGGTGTGACTAATTTTCTGTTTGCAAAATTCATAATAATTTCTTTCACCAAGTGATGATTCACTTGATGGAATATTTTTCCTGAAGATCAATATCTTCAGGTTTCATAATGTTTAGAATAAAAAGTATTATTATTTAGTGTTTGAATATTCTCAAATTTGTTTTCTTGTACAACATGGCATTTCTTACGCTGCATCACACTTTTTGTGCCTTTCCTGTACCTGTGCTGCAGGCGACATCTAGTTGACCCGCGACACCTGAGACACCCCAATCATTTAATTGCATCAGTTACAAAATAAACCAAATCAATTCTGGTTTTTTCTTCACAAAATTCACCAAAGAAAGAATTGTAAACAGAACTCAAATGGGATAATTGCATCCTATAAAATTTTCAAAGCCAAAAACTTGTTCAGTAAAAGTCCCAGTTCTGTGCAGTTTCCTTTCATGCATTATTTGAAACTTCAAAATTTGGAATGACTGCTAAGATATTCATCAGTTTTTTCGTTTCTTTCATTGTCCAACCTTTTGGATAAAGCCAAATAATCTCAGACCTGCTCAAAATAAATTTCTAAATTGAAGGTGAACACATTCAAAGTCCTGGAAAAAGCTGTAAAAAAAAACTCTAACTGCTGATAGTGGGGACTATCAGGCGCACCCAAAAATCAGCACACTTATAAACCGCCCTAGGGCTGTTTAGAGAGCCCAGCACCAAAGAACTTGCCCCCAAGAACCTTCAAAACTTGTACAACAATGCTGTGCATCATCTTTGATTGTAATGTAAAGCGCCCACCAGAAAACAGCAAAAGAATCCCAACATTCAACAAGAACAAGTTTATCACTGTGGGGAAAATTTTGTTTTTTACTCAGAAAGTTGAAAAGGAGGTTGCTTAACAAATACACAAAGTTACAAAGTTGCTTGATTAAGATCTCAGAAGAAATATTTTCAAAAGTTGTGTGAAAGAAAAGTTTCCTAGCATAAAGTGGTATAATTTTGAGTGAAGTTTTGGGCTTTCAAATTTGAACACAGCAGTTTCAATGGACACTTATCAAATTTCACAAATGCAAGCTTGCTCTCCAGAGATCAGCTTAGGGTGAATGCAAAATACGGCCTGTGTTGAGAAGAGAGATCTGAGGAAAGTTCAAATCTTTGGATGAGGTTTGAAGGTTGATTTTGACCATCCTTGAATAGAACAGTATTCTTGTCCTTGTGGATCCAGGGAACCAAACTCAGGTTTGGTTCACAGGCTCATATCAAGTGAATATTGTTGCTTGAAGAAGATTGGTGCTGTTTCAGAATGGCACCATTCAAACAGCTTGAAAAAATGTTTGCTGACAAACACAACCTTCCCTCAATAATGCATAAAAGCCTCAAAAACTTGAAATCAACAACACATTCTCATCCATAATCTCATTTGCATTCTTGGCTTCTGTACCACTTGAACCTATTCTCTGAGAAGTTGTGTGAATTATTGTATGTGTTTTTTTCTTCAAGAAGATGCTGAGTTGTTCATTATTTTGGGACATGAATAACTATAAATTTCTTGGAGACTCTATATAAAGAGGCTCCCATAGCCAATCCAGGGCTGGTTCTAGTTCTTCACTCATAATTTCTCTCTGTTTGGAGAAATCCCTAACCCTGAAGTAATGTATATTTGAAGACTAGTGCACCTTCAAAACTTCATTATTGGAAAATAAAATAAAAATCAGAAGATCCAAAGATAGGAAATTAAATCACAACACAGACAATTTTGAGTAAAATTATGCAGCTGTGCCAATTCTTGAAACTACCTAAAAACACTAACACAAAAACAGCTCATAAAATATTTTCAATATAAGTTATGTGGGGAAAAAAGTCTCACAGCAAAACTTACACGTCCGAATCTGGAAGAATCCGAAATGGAACTGAAAGACAGCTGTGCAAATTGGTAATTGTGGGCAGTACGGCCAATAAAATTCGGCGATCCGTCGATTGGCAAATAATTAAAAATTCGAGCGATCGCGATGAAGAGGATGAAAGCACCCAACATCATGATTTGCACAGGTGACAATTCGATCGTCTCGTTCAAGTAATCCACCTCCATGAACGGGAAAATGCCCGCCACGGGTTTTTGCACAATCATCAAAACGGCGAGTGCCAATGCAAAACGCCGCGCCATTCTTTTCAATTGCACCATGATGACGTATACCTTCTCAAATTTCTTCACCTTTCCTATTTTACAAACATGAGCACACAAAAAATGCATGTTCTTTGATTGATTCGACGCACAGCAACACCAGAAAATGTAAATTACGATTTCTACCGAATTTTCTTCCCAGAATTAGAAATGGCAAAATTTCCAGAATCTGTGAGGAGCAAATGTGCATTATTTGTGGCACAAAGCCACAGATTGTATTAAAAACCTGATGCTGCCACTTTGAAATATAAATTGTACACAAAGTCAAAAAAATTACTAAATATGGAATCAGAGCTTAAAATTAATGCTAAACACATGACTTTTTAAATACCTCTCATGAACTCTTTCAAGCAAAACTGATTTGAGTGTCTGCAAAAAATTTGTGAAAATTTGTCAGTCACTCAGTCCACAGAAAATTTTTTAGGAATTTGTTGGTCTGCAATTTCTTTTTTCAATTTGCCAGTTCACAGCCTAAAAAAGGTTGGGATCACTGTTTTAGGTGGCAAACCAATCATGGAAGGTTTCTATTTTTTTTTTTCAAGGGTACCACTGCACATCATCCCAAAGATATGACTTTCTATTTTTGTTTGACTGCAGAAAAATATTTGTCACCAAAAAAAAAAAGTAAGGTAATCACAGTGACTCACTCTAGCGACTGCGATCCAACCCCGGATTCCCGGGCCGGGTCGCACTAACCGCAACCCGGCAGCGGCCGCAGCCTGAGCCGGGTTGCGATTATCCCTCCAATAATTCGTCGACTCTGCTGGCAACGATAAAGCTCGTTGGGATAATCCGGGGTCGTGGTGCTTATCCCGTCGGATAATCGCCGGCCCGAGTTTAGGGCTCGCGAGTTTCAGTGGCAAGTAGCCCAGGGACGAGAGGAGGGCCAGGGCCAGGAACGCGGGGCCCAGGAACATCACCTGCACCGGGCTCAGGGGCACGGGTTCGTGGAACGGATCCACGTTCACCTCGTAGAAGAAGGCCGAGGACAGGGATGGCGCCGATGAGAGGAACCACACGAGCACCACTGCTGAGTGCCACTTCATCATCATCATCATCATATTCTTTCCGTTCTCACTGACAATAATCCCTTTAGCAAGTGAGCGCCAACAAATTGATATAATGCACACTTTAAAATAGTTTTTCTTCTCAGAATCATCTTCATCTGAGGAGTTGATACATCGACATGCATGGTTTTCATTGATTTGGTTTTATTTTTAGCAAAGGGAAGTAAATCAGAATTTTTTGAGCAACACTTGATGAATTACCTTATTTACTCAAGTACCACAGGCCCTTGAGTAAGGCGTGCGCAGGGGTTTTTCAGTTGGAAATTTGGCTAAAATTTTATCCCCAAGTAAGATGCGCACCCCAATTTTTAGTGAATCTAAAACCATAAAATTTTGAAAATACAAACAAAAAAGTAACTTCATACATGAATTGAAAAAAAAATCTGATCAATTTTCACCTTTTTCAGTGCAAAAAAGTTTTCTTGTTACATTTTTTCCAAATTTCTCCATTATAATTAAGTACAATGCACACATACATAACTTCCTAAAACTTCTTGGAAAATTTGTACCTGCTTATGACACACCCCCCCTTTTATTCTTCTGAAATTTGAGAAAAAAGGTATGCGTGGTACTTGAGTAAATACAGTATGATTCATGAAAAAATTGTCAGTTGTTGTAGGGGTGAATAGGCAATTATCATACAGTTGCACAGGTAGTACCTTGCAATTTGACCATCCTGCAATTTGACAGTCAAATTTGCTGGGATATCAACTTGAAATTGTACCTCTGCCCTGCAATTTGACCTTTGCACAGAGATGCAGAAGGTAAAATATGATGTGGAAAACATCAAATTTGACACCCAGTAGTCTTGCAATTTGACCACTTCACAATTAAACCCTAACCTAGCAATGAAGTAGGGTTGAATTGCTGGGTAACACGCTAACACCAGTACCTTATTGATAACTCTAACTTCTTTAAGTCGAAATGCCTTCCAATGTCAAATTTTTGGAAGTCCCTGTCTGAATTCCTTTGGAAACACTGAATTAAACCTCAGATAGTGAAGTGTCCTGGTCCATCCTGTTGCATAGTTGGGATTTTTTCTAGGGGGAGGTGCATTTCAGTTTGACTAAAGGGCACTGAAATGCCCTCAGGTTGGAGAGGCCCAATTTTAAAAAGCCAGTGAGAGGATATCCCATGGTCTTCAGAAATCCTCATTTCTAATATTATGCTAGGAATTGAGGGAAAAAATTCCACACAGAGAGAATTTTTTCACGCAACATTTTCTGCATGATTTAAAAAAATATTGGACTTTTCCCTGACATAGACCTTGGTTCAAAAATATAATTTTCTGCAGTGCTCATGGGTACAATATGTTGCAAAAAATATCCTGACTTTGCCACATGAGGGTAACCTCTGTAACTGATGGAAGGTTTTCCCCTCAAACCTCTATAGATCAAATTTTCTGGACGCCTTTTGGCAATCAGTTTATTGACAACACAGGAAAAAAAATTGTGTTTAAAGGAGGTGAAGGTAATATAGGGCAAACAAACACTTGTACTCAAGTTCAGCATCTGGTAAGCTCACTGAAGAAGCAATTCAAGACCCAGAATAACACCAATTGAAATTTCCTGCAATTCTTCTTTCTTTTAACAATAGAAATGCAATTTAACTGTTATAAAAGTGGACAGTGATGTTTTCTTCAGGGAAAATGCCTCTCAAAGCAGGCTATGGCTCATTGGTTTTTATTGTACAGGATCTATGCCTGGCAAAAGTTTCAAGCAGTCATGCAGTCAAGCATACACAATTTGATGTACAGTATCACCATGAAAGGATCAACAGGAAAAGTACTTATAAGTGAAATTATAATGTTTGTTTGAATTCAAGTATCAATTTCTGGTGGAGAGGCTTTGGTTTCTTTTAAATAAGGTTCATATTTGCAGAAAATTGATTGGTTCCAGTTTGAAAATATAGCCACTTCTGTGAAGTCATTAGTGATATGCTTGAGGAAATGTATGCAAAACAGTTCTCACAATTTTCGGTGAAGCAAGTTTGGAGAAAGTTTGGGCTGTATGCTAATAATGCTGGGTTTTTTTTGTCTCTTTCACTTGTTCTATTATCACTGAGATTTTGAAGTGGCACCATTCCTTGTATATTGGAATGTGAATTGTTTTCAGAACAGGGTCTGTTTTGGGCCATGAAACTGTTAATGTGCATTTCCTCCCATCAGAGATGCACTCATTTGTAACAAACGTTTCTCTTTTTTACAGGAAGATGTTCAATTTTTTTAAATTGCATACTGATTTTTCAAATGACACTAACACAACAGATTTGTTTTATTACTATCTTATACCAATTTTGCACAATTGACAAGCCAAATATATGAGCAAATGAAGAACACTTTTTCATCCAGCTTAAAACAACATTTCAAGTCATACTCTTTCATAATGACAAACCTTTCCAATGTTGATGTAACAAATTTTGTATTTTACTTTCCTGCAAGTCATTATATGGCTTTGTTGTGACTATTCTGCATTCTGTAATTCATTATATAAACTACAGTGAAAATAAGGCAATTTTCATCAGGTCGACTTTTTAAATAAAGAAGAATTTAGATTTTGAAACACATAAATCACTGTTGTGTGTGTATGACGAAAGGAAGAAAATTACAAGACATCCAAAGGGGTGGCAAAAAATAAAGAAAAAAGGTACAGTAATAAGAGGTTATGCGAACTCGTACTCAGCCCTGTACACCCTAAGGCTGAAACACATTAACCCAGATTTTTGTCAAACTTATTCATCTCCCCTGGAATCAAGGGATGATTTGTAACCCAAATTCCCCAGCTCCCGACCTGTCGGGTCCATTATCCTGAAACATTTGCATATCTTGCAACGGGTCTCTGGGGCCAATTTGCATTGTCCTGGATTTTTTGGGTTTTGTCTGAATAATCCCCTGAAAGGTCATTCAGGTTTGTCTGAGAATTTTTGGGTTGCACAAGAATGATTCAACCGACTCCAAATTTCGGAAGGAAAAAAAAAAAGAGAGGAAGAATTGAAACGTTTCGAGGCTCTAACTTTGAATGGTTTTCTGATATAAAATTGTTTTCGTTGCAGACACCTTTTCCGAATTATTGAGTCAATAATTATAGCTATAGACCGAATCACTGATGACAAAATAATTCTGCAATTTTCGAAAGCTTATCTTTTGTTGGTGTCATTCATTGAGATGCTTGTCTTCTCGTCACTCATCAGTCTAACTAAACTTTGAATGGACATCGTGTTGAGATTCAATTTTCCAATTCAAACAATACCTCCGAAATTATTCAGTCAATTAATAGCTAAACCAAAAACATTCCGTAATATTGTGGAACTTCTGGAAGATGTTCTTCTGTTGACGTCATTATTAATTGAGAAGCTTTTTTACCACCTTATCTTAACTAATTTGAGTATAACTCAACTTTGGATGAACATTGTTTTGATACTCAGTTTTTCCAATCTTCACACTATTTTTTGAAGTGACTGAGTCAATACAGGTAGTGCCCTGCAATTTGACCCTAATCAATTGCCAGGTAAGGGTCAAATAGCAAAGCAGTCAAACTGTGAGACAATATGTCAAATTTGATGTTTTCTACATTGAATTAGACATTTTGAGTCTTTCAGCAGGTCAATTTGCAGGGCAAGTGGTCGAATTGCAGGGCAAGTAGTCAAATTGGAAGTCAACATTGTCGCAAATTTGACCATTGAATTACAGGATGGTCAAATTGCAGGACATTTAATTGTGAGGTGTGAGGTTTTCTACATTGAATTAGACATTTTGAGTCTTTCTGTAGGTCAAATTGCAGGGCAAGTGGTCAAATTGCAGAGCAATTGGTCAAATGGCAGGGCAAGTAGTCAAATGGCAGGGCAAGTAGTCAAATGGGAAGTCAACGTTCTGGCAAATTTGACTGTTGAATTACAGGATGGTCAAATTGCAGGACATTGAACTGTGAGGTGTGATGTTTTCTACATTGAATTAGACATTTTGAATCTTTGTGCAGGTCAAATTGTAGGGCAAGAGGTCAAATTGCAGGGCAAGAGGTCAAATTGCAGGGCAAGTGATCAAATTGGAAGTCAACATTGTAGTAAATTTGACCATTGAATTACAGGATGGTCAAATTGCAGGGCATTTCATTGTGAGGTATGAGGTTTTCTACATTGAATTAGACATTTTCAGTCTTTCTGTAGGTCAAAGTTTAGGACAAGAGGTCAAATTGCAGGTGAAGAGGTCAAATTGAAACTCAACATTGTAGCAAATTTGACCATTGAATCAAAGGATGGTCAAATTGCAGGACACCGAATTGTGAGGTGTGATGTATTCTACATTGCATTAGACATTTTGAGTCTTTCTGCAGGTCAAATTGAAGGGCAAGAGGTCAAATTGGAAGTCAATGTTGTAGCAAATTTGACTGTTGAATTACAGGATGGTCAAATTGCGGGACATTGAATTGTGAGGGACATTGAACCTCTAATATGTGCATGAAAAATCTCTACAATTGTGCAATTTTCAAAATTTCATCTTTGGTTGAAATTATACTTGAGGAGGTCTCTTTCCTCTATAGCACTTGACCTCAGCCATTTAGAGCATAACTAACTCAAAATATGCCAAAATCAGATGTTTTTTCCTAGTTATAACATGGTTTTCAGATGTGGGCAATTTTAAATGGGCGGTTTCCCAAATCATTTTCAAATTTTTAAGCGTAGCAGGTTCATAACAGTATTCATCACACTGATTTATTAATGAGCAGTTTTTGGACTCTGGTTTCTCTTATTCTCTTTTTTTATGTAGTTGGCGCTTGAAAATTGAAAATTTTGGTCAGGCGGGGTATTCTGAAATTTCCAAACGAACCCGATGAAAAATTTCAGGTACTAACTACTAACTTGCAAGTGATGGTTCGGGTTTTCAGCAGAAATTTTTGAACTGAAGCAAAATGCGATGAAAATGTTCATCACGGAAGTCGTATTTTTTGGCATGATCCAAGATTCAAAAATAACCGCAAAAATAATTAGAATGCGAATATTTCATTCAGATGAGACTTGGTTCATGATCAGCACTTTTATCTCTCGTTCTACAATTTTTTAAAAATTGTGATTGTTTCCATTCGATCATGCGGAAGACTTTGAAAAGATTAACACAGGACCAAGAGAAATTCTGACCCAAACTTCGGGACGAATGCAATTCATAATTATCCATAAATGTATTGCATATACAGTACTACAACTGAACCCTTTTTCAGGGGTTAAACTTCACCAGATATGGGACAAGGAGAATCCAACAAACAAAACAGCTGAAAATGAGCAATGCTCCACTTTTCCAGACCAAGTGCTTGTGCGCAACTGCGAAGCCAACACGAAAGTGCAGCTCGTGACCTGAGAATCCCACGAAAAGCCCGCAACTGGGCCATGTGGCACAGCAAAAAGTAAAAAATAAAAACTAAACATAAATTTCATCCTTAAAAAAAATGTAGCGTTTGAAAAATGACGGAGAGAGAAATTGGTCGTGGTTCGCACACCAGAATAATACCGCGAGGGCAGAAATGAAAAAAATGGACCTGACATGCGAATATAAGGCTGACATCCATCTTTTCTTCCCGTGACATGTTCTGTATCCGAGACTTTTTTTATTTATATATATTTTTGCAGTGTGGTCAGCAGTCAGCACGTATATACTGACTGAAGCAATCAATATCAGTCTTCTAGAGATTAGATGAAACAATGCAAAACACTCCGCAAACAAACAGACTGTCATGATTTCATGAATACGTATATACAAAGTTATAGTGGGACTTTTGACAGATGGAAGTTCCGTTGATTTATTTTTCTTGAAAATTGACAAAATAAACTGAAAAAATTCTTATGCTGGTACAGTAATTTTGTCCAGTGGTTTGGGTTTTGCCGAATTAAAAAAAATCTAATAGTCATTGAAATTCTTCATTGGCGAAGTCATTTTTTGGTGTGATTCAGGATTCAAAACGCCGCAGAACTTTTTTTTGAAACGAAGCATTTTTTCAATTTTTTATTTGAGTAATTTTTCTCTCTTGAAATTCTTTTGAAAAGATAGATTTCATCAATTTGTGCAGAAAATTTCGAATGATTTTGAGGGCAATAATCAACTAAATAATGAAATCATGTATAAAATGCATTGGTTACTTATTTCCTTTTGTAAATCAAGACAACACCATCTCACCAGCACTCAGCTGCTTTTGTCTAATTCTCACAGGTGGAATTTCTTTACAAAGATTTTTTTCTACAAAGAATGTTTTCTCTCTCCTTTTATGTTATTGTAAGGAGAGACCAACTGAATTCCTGAGCTATTCCTCTCAAGCCTCTTATTTCCTGTAATATTCTGTAGAAATGCATCAATAATTTGATTCTATCTACCCTTTTACTCCTTATATCCAGGGATTTGTCATTATATCCCAACAAAAAAGTATTGTTATCCAAAAATTACAATACCAAAATGAGTGATCAACAATGATCAGTCGTTGAGAACTACTTTTTATAATTAGAGGAAAAGGGATTGGAGATTTAAATTGTTTTCCGCAACTTCCAAAGGAAACACAAAAGTTACTTCATGAGAGTATTTCAAATGTTATTGATTATATCTTCACACACAGTCAATACAATACAATGATATGGAGCAAAGCTGTGGCATGGATTTGGCATTTGGACAGAGTCAGGTGCGGTAAACTTGACGCAACATAAAATGCACCGGTTTATATAGCTTTGGCTGGCCAAGGTCAAAGAACGCGCATAGAAACCAATTTGGATTGGGGATGTCACACTTTCTTTATTCAAAGGAAGGAAGCATGAGCGCGGTTGGGAAAGTATTCCATCAACAACAGGATTGGGAAATATAATTACTAGCGCACCAGGCTCAGCCAAGCATAGCAGAAATACATTAGCTTAAAAGGGTTGTGCAGAAAGTGAAGGGTGTTGTGGTTGTTAATATGACTACAGTATGCATAAATTATAAAATATTTGCTGTTGGGGACTGAGGCATACAAGAGGATATAATAAATATAATCCTTCCTGGGGCTCATATAGGGAGCTCAGCATCAAAGAACAAGTCCCAAATGACTTGTACAACAATGCACAGCATTGTCCTTGATTTGAGAGAAATCAGCAAATCAAAAGCACCAAAAAACCACTCAAGGAAAACCACTTTCCTCCATTCCCCTTCTTCCTCCCAAAAATTGAATTAATTTCACTGTCAATTGTCAAGCTGTTTGGAGCTAAAAGCCTTGCTTTGATTATTGCTGACATACTTTCTGTGATTACCTTGGGTGTATGATTATTTTGTCCATGCTTCGAGATTAACAGAGTTGCAAAATTCTGTCTTGAGACATTATTGAACACTCGATTGTTTTTGGAGCCTCTAGACTTCTATAGAGAGAGGCTTTCAGCCCATCCCAGGCTGATAATGTGATGTTTGATTCATTATTCTTATCCCCCTTTATTTGTTGAGACACTCAGTCTATAACATTTGCAAATGAAAGTTAATACCTTTATGGTCCGACCAATGACCCATTGTCCATCAGGCTCATTGGTATCCCCATCAAGTAAAGGACTGCTGCTTCTGCCTGAGCCAAGTGTATCCTCAATTTGATTGTCGTCCAATTTGACCAGGGTGTTGGCAATTTCAGTCAATAGATCGTATCGCAGGGATTCTTCTGGATTCATCAGGGAAGTCTGGTTCCTTTCACCATCTGCTGCAGCTGCTGAATTACACAGTTCAAAAATGGATTATCACAAACATTGTCATTATTGAACGTTAGCAGCGACATCTCTCCAAGATCCCTGAAACTTAGATTTCTTGCTTTTCCTCAAAGGTGCAGATGTAGCTCTACCTGCTGAGCAACTCCACACAGATGTGACATGTGATAAGCTGATACTGTAAATATACAGTACTTGCAGTACATGAAAAAGGCTAGAAAACCTTGTAGTCTTCTTGGATCTACTTTTTAATTCCTAAATATTTTCCTAAGATTGTTTCAGCACACTATCAAAACTTTTATAAAGCTTCTCATCTCCATGTGAGTAGAAATTATTGCCTGAACGTTGATTTTCATTTGTACTGTATTAATGCTTGAGGATTAACTCTTGGACAGTGGATGATTCCTGGCCATCCTGCAGCAAAGTTATGGAGATTTTTGGGGGGCAGCACAATTCATTTTAACTATAAAGGTCACTGAAATGGAACCAGGTTAAGTTATGCTTAAGTTGGGAAATATTTAGGCCTTCCCAGGTGGACTCTTTCTACAAAAAAATTTCCAGGGGTCAGAGAAAATTTGTTGTAGCAAGAATTTTGTTTAAGAGAATATATATAACATATAAGAAGATATTCCTTTGGAGGGTAAAAAAAAATGTTGGACAGAATCTTATTTGTAGACAAGATTGTTGGACAGTTTAATCTCCTTATAATGAATTTTTACTCAACACACATTTTTTCTTCAGGTGCCTGCAGTGACCACAGCTGTGGTGAAAAAGGATGGTTGCAAAGCATTTTACAAAGAAATTTGTGCACACTATCAGCTGGGTTTTGGCCAGGATTTTTTACAGCACTCAAAACAAGATTTCCCATGAACCACGTAACTGCACCATAACTGGTGCACACTGTGGTCACAACTGGTGTACATTGGCTATTCTGGGGTTACAAGCATGCACCTCTGTTGATGAAATTTTGCTACCATTCCAGGGCTAGATTTGGTGCACAAATGTAACATAACAGGAGTATCACAAAAATGCACTAACTGTAACCTTGGTGTAATTTATTTATTAAAAATGTGACCCTGAGTAACCCTTGGTGTGAACACACAATTGGTGCACATTAGGGATATGCATGTGCAATATAGAAGAACTTTGGTACACTTCAGGTGCACAGCCGGGTCACTGTGTAAAAATACAGACACATCCCCAGTGTGCACGAATTTCCCCACTTGGGGTGTATTCATCCACTTTTTATTCTTTAGGATCAGGAAATATACAAGGACTTCCAGAAAGTTTGACTGCTTCCCCTTGCTCCTTTTCCTGACATTAGCCGTGATGTTATTTGAATTGCTATGCCATGATTTTTATTGTTATGATGATGAATCATTTTTCCAAGCCCCAACATAAGCTTAGTTCCAATGAGATTTGGCTGCGGTTTATACAGAGTTAAAAAGACTCACTTGTATTGAAGCGACATCTCAGCAAGTCAAGGACAGTCAGAGCCTCACACGTCGGTTCAGTCGCATTGCTATTATTTCCGGATTCCTGGAGGCGATCCGTGACGAGCGAAGTCAGCAGATTCTTGCCGCCCACCTTGACCGGAAGGATGCCGAAAATGTACATGCCCCAGACGAAACCCACGACCGGAAGTGCGATGAACAATTCCGTCTCGTCCATTTCGTAAGGCATGTCCAGGAACGGGATTTTGCTCGTCACGAAAAGCACTGCTCCGGAAGCGGATTCCCATTGCGACGAGAGAAATGAAAGGACGCCGATGAACGTCAAAGCGGAAATTGAGGAGGAAGTCGTGGCGAGCCAAGGTTTTCTCAGAAGCAGGAACTTCATGGTTATTCTCGCGTCACGTACTATTTCTGGGGGTGAGAAATCGGGAATTTTGTTTTTAATTTTTCAAGATTCGCGGTTGCAACAATGAAAGCCAGGAAGACGATGAGAAAGCCTTACGAAAATTTTGGGATTTTACTGTAGGGAAATCTGTGCATACGAGGGTTTACACATTTCCCCGCGGACTCATTTCAGCATACTAACGGGTAACATGGTTCCGCGCGGAACTGTTTCGATGCAGACTGGAAATGATCAGGGACTTTTTTTTTAAATCAATAGGATATGTATGGCGCCAAGTCTTGTTGTTCATGAGAAATAATAGTTGAAGGGATATACATTTTAGGAATCAGTTAAAGATAAAACAGGATGTAAAGGAGGCAGAATATATATTCCTACATAATTGAGGGAGCTGCAGACAGTAAAAAGCAGGAAAAATAGAATGTCAATAGGGGAAAATGGATCCACACAACAAAATTTGCAATTCTTAAACCTCAGCAACAACAACAAAACTGGGTGCACATCTTACATGGGCATATAGGTTTTCAGACAAATTTCTTGAAGAAAAATGAGGGTGACTGGCTTACTCAGGGGTACATGGTACTCAAGTAAACACTGTACAGTATATATGCCTCCTAATTTGACATTTCGGATTACATTCCAAACTCAAATCATCTCAACTTTAATCAATAGCACATCATTTATCCAAATTCAGTGGGACACTAAGATGTGGAAATAATTGGTGCATTGACCTTGTCCCTCTGTTGGATCACATTTTGCAATAACCTTCAATTTAGAACATCTTTGATTGGGTCTCATGTTTAATTCCTGGAATTATGAATAAGTCCCCAACAAAATTGAATAAACACATTTTTGCTCAACTTCAAGATACAGAAAACACACTTGCAGAAGATACAGTATCTACATGGATTCCACAATATTTTGGCACCAAAAGGAGCTCAAAAAGCACAGAACAAGAAAAATCTTGCTAATTGCTTTACAGTACCTTGTAACTCAATCCTAGATTTGGATCAAATTGCAAAGCAGTTGAATTTATTTGCAAGACATAGTGTAAAATTGAGAAATATTTGCACAAAAATGTCAAAGAAACTGGCCAAATTGTGGGGCACAAAACACAAGTTCCGAAAAAAATAAATATATGCCAGAATTAATAGTTGTTTTACTTTTCTGATTTTTTTCTCCTTGCTTCATTGAAATTTTTCCAAGGTTAAAAAAATGCTTCATTTACGCAATATAATTGCAAAAATCATTCCAGTAATCTTGCTAGCTAGTCTGGAAGTGAGTGAAATTTTAGTTTCAAAATTTGATCCGGACAAACAGACAGACAGACAGACAGACAGACAGACAGACAGACAGACAGACAGACAGACAAGAAAAGTGAGTTCATAAAAACGTGGTAAAATGGGGGTGACTGGCTTACTCAGGGGTACATGGTACTCAAGTAAACACTGTACAGTATATATGCCTCCTAATTTGACATTTCAGATTACATTCAGAACTCAAATCATCTCAAATTTAATCAATAGCACATCATTTATCCAAATTCAGTGGGACACTAAGATGTGGACATAATTGGTGAATAGACCTTGTCCCTCTGTTGGATCACATTTTGCAATAAGCCTTCAATTTAGAACATCTTTGATTGGGTCTCATGTTTAATTCCTGGAATTATGAATAAGTCCCCCAAAAAATTGAATAAACACGTTTTTTCTCAACTTCAATATACAGAAAACACACTTGCAGAAGATATCTGCATAGGTTCCACAATATTTTGGCACCAAAAGGAGCTCAAAAAGCACAGAACAAGAATAATCTTGCTAATTGCTATACAGTACCTTGTAACTCAACCCTAGATTAGGATCAAATTGAAAAGCAGTTGAATTTATTTGCAAGACATAGTGTAAAATTGAGAAATATTTGCACAAAAATGCCAAAGAAACTGGCCGAATTGTGGGGCAGAAAACACAAGTTCCAACAAAAACTAAATATATGCCAGAATTAATAGTTGTTTTACTTTTCTGATTTTTTTCTCCTTGCTTCATTGAAATTTTTCCAAGGTTAAAAAAATGCTTCATTTACGCAATATAATTGCAAAAATCATTCCAGTAAAAATATTGAATCCAAAAAAATTATTACACTTAATCTGAACGAAATTGTGTATCAATCTATCAAAGCAACTTCAACAACATCACAAATAAATAAATGGAATGAATAAAAATTCACAGTAGCCACCGTGCAAAATGTGTGCCAATATTTTTCCTCCTTGAGAAAGGGGAAAATTTTTTTTGTTCAGGCTCGCTCGAACTGCTTGGCAAAACTGATGAAACAACATTCGACCCCCATCTCCCTACTTCTTCTTGGGACACAAAGCGGGGTTGAATCCCTTCACGACCCCCGTTATTCAAATGTTCGCTTATCTGCCTGCCCTGAATCAGCACAAAATACATGTTTTTCTCATCTATTGTTTTTTTTTTCAGACAAGCGAAAAACAATCCGGTTGAATTGCATGTTTTGATGGGTAATTGAGGAGTGAGGACGCAAAACATTGCTGAGAATTATGGCCAGCAATCAGGAGTATTTTTAAAATACAGTTTCAATAAGGAGTATTTTTAAAATACAGTTTCAATAAGTTTAATCCAGGTTATCATAATTATATTTCATGACTACGGTACACATTCTGATTCATTGACTGATAAGCTATTTTTACAAGGAGTTCCCATTCTTATCCACTTATTTTGTTGTTGGTGAAAAATACCCATTTCATGTATTATGCCATAAATGTCTCATTCTAAAATAAAATCCACATTTTTGCATGAATACCTACTGTATATGTAAACAAGTTTAACATAAAATACTATACAGTGCAGTACAGTTGGGACTTTTTTGCAAAAAAAATAATAATCTGACCAGAAAACAAAATCCACTCTATAGACTGAATTTCATGATACAGAACCCCTATAATATGGGGAGAGAACCCTATGGGAAACACACAAGAAATTTCACTATTTTTGTGGAGAATATTTTTGCAAACAAGATTTTTCTAGACAAGAGAGTGTCCACCTCTTTTAGGACTTGTGAAATAAGGTAAGCAATGCTCTACAATAAAATCAAGAATATCCAAACTGAAATGAACTCTGTGTATTCATGGCATTGAAAATTTTGCTAGCTGACTACTGCAGATTTATTCCAACAGTTTTCAATTGTTTTAATATTTTCTTCTTTTTTTTAATACGCTTCCCACGCGATTGCATTAAAATTTGTACAGATTCCCCAACCAGATCACCACCCAAAAAGCGGTCCCCAAAAATCAAAAAGCCATCCACAAGCCATCACAACAATCCCACCTAACGGACCCCTTTTTATTGCAACAACACAACAAAAAATTCCCTCTCGTCCCCACCTTTGTTTTCCTGCAATGAAAAAAAAAATCAGCGCGAAAAAAAAATCCAACATTCCTATATGCAAATGAGCTGAATTCTCAAAGGAAAGAGAGAGAGAGATAGAAAATTAAATAAATAAGTAAATAAAAACGAAAGAAACCCTCACCATCGAGACGGCGCCAGAAGGAGCAGACAGCAGCAGCTGATGATGTCGGGTTGACGGCGTCCACGAGGCGGTCAATCGCCGCCCCAACACCATCGTGGCGTCCACGGGCAAGTAACCCATTGCTGACAAGATGGCCGTGCATAGGACAAACAGCCCCAGGAACCCGGCTTGGAGTGGACCCAGTTCCACGGCCTCATTGATGTAATCGATTGAGGCTTCGGAGAAGAAACCCAACGCGGGTTCTAGTGGGTACGCGATAATGATGAATAACAGGATGACGTTGGGCGGCAGAATAAGGCGCTTCACTGATTCGAAACGCATTTTCTAGGATAAATTTTTTTTAATTCTTTCAATTTTATTTTATTTTTTGGAAAACGAAATATTTTGCACACAGCAGACACTCGATTTTGTCACTCACGACACAAATTTTTGGTTCAGTAGACAAATAACATGCCAGAAAGTGATCATCCTTGGTAATGAAATGAGAAGTAAAAAATTTATAACCCTCCTGCAGCAATAAGTTGGACTTTTTTCTGCAGGTTTTGGGTGCACTCAAGAATGGCATTAAAAAAAAAAACAAGATAGTGTGTATAGAGAGCAAAGTTGGGAAAAATCCTGGTATTTTAACACGTTTTTATTAACTCGCTTTCTTGTCCGTTTGTTTGTCCAGATCAAATTTTGCATCTCAAATTTCGCTCACTTCCTGACTAGCTAGCAANACTAAAAAGCACAAAAAAATTTAGTAGATTAAAAAATTAATCTAAAAAACCACATTTTCAAAAAGCAAGAAATAACCTTAAACGTGGTGCGCATGGAGATTGTTGGGAAGAAGTGAAATACAAATGAAATAGATGCACACCACGTTTAAGGTTATTTTTGCTTTTTGAAAATGTGGTTTTTTAGATTAATTTTTTAATCTACTAAATTTTTTTGTGCTTTTTAGTCTTACTTGAAAAACGTGGTTTTTTAGATTAATTTTTTAATCTACTATAATTATTTTACATTTTCCACAGAAAATTTTCACACCTGGAAATGAAAAAAAAATTTAAAGACTCTCTTCTGCAGAGATTTCTGGTTTTTTTTAAGTCTTACAGAAAGAAATTCATCACTGCCTTTGAAATCATTCTCGTTGACATAAGCCAGATTTTTTTTTTCAAACGAAATCAGACGAGAATTATTTATCGGAATGCAATGTGTTCATTAAATATTCACTCCATCACCTGCCCATTCATACGCACGACCGCATATAAAAACTAGTTTTATCACGAGATAAATTCTGAATCACGATGTACATGAACTTGACACGAGCAAGATCATTTCAAAACGTTTCATGTATAACTGAAAATAATAATTCAACTTTTGTCGTGACAACAATAATATAAAACGCACGCTTCTTTTCAGAGAAAACTTTTTCCACCGAATGAGGCCTTTCTCTTCCATTTTCCAGCATTTGAAGAATAAGTATTTGTCGATTTTCGAGAGGGGAAAAAATTTAAACTGCAACAAAAACACGTATTCTCAAGCGCATGCGCAAAAAAAAAAAAAAAAAAAAAAAAAAAAAATTTTTACTAAAAAAAAAAAAAAAAACGTTTTCACCAACAACGTCATGTTTGCTTTTCCTGTTGGAGAAAAACAGCGTTGTGATGCAGCAGAATGCA